ACCTGTAGGTTTCTTAAGGTTTTTTCTAATGACATAAATAAGTGAATGATCCSAGATTGAAGTATTTATAACTCCAGATATGCCATATATGGAGGATCGATTTGTGAAAATAAGATCCAAAATGGAATTGCATGTCTTGCCAAATCTTGGTACTTTAATTAACTGTTGAAGCCCTCACTTTATAGACATTGCTTCCAGGCCTTTGGAAGCTTGTGTTCAAAAAAATACTTTGTTTTTGACTGGACGCTTTTATTTTGAAGGCCGATCCTAGCATTTAGCGCGTGACCGGAAGTTTGATCTTTGCTGCAGCGATGCATAGATCTTCGCGTTCTTATTTATCGTATTTGACCTCATTCCAAGTAAGGCTTGAAACCTGTGTGCCAAATAAAGGCGTCTTAAAATACATTTTGTTTCCCACCTTTTTAATAAATAACCAATTGCATTRATTTTTAACAAGTATTTACTGACCACTGACGTTAGCTTAGCATGTTTAACTGTCCACAACATGCTGTTTTTATTTTCTCAGAGTCAAAAAAGACATTTTTATGAAAGACAGAAGARTGTGTTTGTGATGGAGTTTAGGGAGACAAAGCTGCTACTCAGTGGGTGAAKATGTCTGCAGTCCAGATGCAGAGAGTGTCGAAGAAGCATCAGAAGTTGGTGGAAGAAGAACCCGGAAGTCCACCTGAAGAAAAGCTGTCATCTCACTTTGATGGTAATCCTGCATTTGTTAATCGACTCATTTCGTTATATCAGAGCTGCAGCTTTTGGTTATTATGTCCGAGAGCATTAATATGAGATTTTCAATGTAACTTAAATCTACCATCATTAAATGAGCAACAAAAGGCTGCTTGTTATGTCAGTGTGATCAATCTTAAAAATAAAAATAAAAACTATCCAAAGCCTTTCAGACAGATGTTAAATCATGTCACTTCCTTAACAACATTTGAAAGTGTCCCTCCATGAAAATGTTGCTTCCATCATTTCTTAAATTGGAACAGAAGCATCCAAACTCATTTATAGCTAAATATGTACATGTCAAACCTCACTTAAATAACAGTCAAAAGAAAGGGCAACATAAAATAAACTAATATACAATAATTATGATTTATAACATTTATTTTTGGAAGGGTTTTTTTAAGCTTAGGTTCTTCAACTGAGGGCATAAAAATGTTTAATTATAGTTTGAAACATAACCTAAAGGGCATTCAAGCCACAATTAATTAATTTGATGTAAGTGACTGTGTTTTTGTGCAATCAGAGGCAGGGGTTTATTTAAATTTTGTGTTTGCAAGAAACAAATAGATACTGCACTGCGTACAAATTAATATGCAATCAGAATAAATAGAACAAATACAAAAGAAGAAGAATAAACAAAATCAACAGTTCTCTCATGTTTTCTTAAATGAACTTTGAGAAGTTTTATTTAACTCGCCTGTCTTTCTGTTTCCTTCAGATGTCCAGAGGGTACTGGTGGTCAAAGATGAGTTTTCTCCTGATAACTGTTCCAGTCTGGACCAGGGGGACGAAAAGCCCCCAAAGATCAAAGAAGAGCAGGAGGAGAGTGACATCATAGAGTTCACCTTCAGTCCTGTTCCTGTGAAGCGCGAGGATGACCAAAACGACCCTAATTTCTCAGAGGTTCATTCTTGTCCGGAGAAGAGGAACAGAGACTCGGCGGAACCAGAACCACATTGGAGCTCACAATCAGCCATGGAGGAGAAAACTCCAGAGTCTTCAGAGACGGACGTTAGTGATGGAAACTGGGAGAAGGGCGGTGAACCTCAGCCAGGTTTAAACAGAGACACCAAGCCAAAGTTATACAGCTGTGCCGAATGTGGCAAAACATTTGAATACAAGTCGCGTCTGTTGAAACACTGCCGAATCCACACGGGAGAAAAACCCTTCAGCTGCTCTGTTTGTAAAGCAACGTTTACGTGGAAACACTCATTTGTGCAACACACGAGAATCCACACGGGAGAGAAGCCTTTCAGCTGCTCCATCTGTAGTCAGTGCTTCAGTCGGAGGGAAGGATTAACTCGCCACATGAAACGTCACACTGGAGGCAAACCTTACGTCTGCTCCGTCTGCAACGAAGCTTTTACCTGGAAGCAGAATTTGGCGGAGCAKGTGAAAACCCACTCAACAGGAGAGACGTTCAGGTGCTCCGTTTGTAAAGCCGATTTTAAGAAGAAACAGTCGCTGTTGGATCACAAAAGAACTCACAGGGAGGAAAAATCTTTTGTCTGTTCTGTGTGTGAGGCAACTTTTAGAGAAAAGCACAATTTAGTGCAGCACATGAGAATCCACACAGGAGAGAAACCTTTTAACTGCTCCATCTGCGAGACGTCTTTTACACGGAAGCACTCATTTGAGCAACACTTGAGGATCCACACGGGGGAAAAACCCTTTGGCTGTTCGTTTTGTGGTCTAACTTTCAGCAGGAAGAAAAATTTACTCCGTCACATGAGGCGTCACACTGGAGGCAAACCTTACGTCTGCTCTGTCTGCAGCCAAGCTTTTTCCTGGCAGCTGAATTTGGTGGAGCACATGAAAGTCCACTCAACAGAAGAGATGTTCAGGTGCTCTGCTTGTAAAGCAGATTTTGAAGACAAACAGTCTTTGTTGGATCACAAAAAAACTCACAAAACTGAAAAATCCTCCGTCTGTTCAGTTTGCAGGGCCGCGTTCAGAGAAAAGCACAATTTAGTTCAACACATGAGAATACACACAGGAGAGAAACCATTTAGCTGCAGTGTCTGTGAATCGTCCTTTACACGGAAGCACTCGTTTGATCAACACATGAGAATCCACACGGGGGAAAAACCCTTCAGCTGCTCTGTTTGTGGTCTGAAATTCAGTAGGCAGAAAAATTTAATGCGTCACATGAGGTGTCACGTCGAAGGAAAACCGTACAGCTGCTCTATCTGTAACAAAGCCTTTAAGAGGCAAGACGCATTAGTGGAGCACACAAAAAGGCACGCCGCAGAAAAAACCTTCAGCTGCTCTGTTTGTAAAGCGGATTTTAGAACAAAACTCAATTTACTGCAACACACGAGAACMCATGCAGGAGAGAAACCTTTAAGCTCCTCTGTGGTCGAACCTTCAGACCCAGAGAAAACGTAACTCGTCACATTAAATGTTTCCATGGAGAGATCCTAAATATTTCAAACCCTGTAACGTTATGTTTAGATTTTGTTCAACGCAAAACTAAMATATAGAAGATAAAGCAAACACAGATCCAAATGTTCAGCTGAGATATTTGAGTTGGACTGCCGTTGAGACTATTTTTGTTGCCCCAACAGTAAAAATAAAACTCTAAACCCCCATCATTGATGTAAAAAAATCTGAATCTGAATTTATTCTTAGAAATATCATATTAAAGTGTCTCCTTCCCAAAATTTGGTGCTTTAGCATTTGAAATACATAAAAATGTACAAAACAAAGCAGGTAGGAAAAAAACATTTTATTTATTTTTGGTTATTACTTTCAGTCAGAAAATGCACATTTCCTGTATTTTTTTCCCACTTATGGGAAATAAATTTCACTGAGTGAGTCTGCTATATTTTCAATTCATCAGTCAGACTGTTTTGATCCTTTTGTTAAGAGGCAAACCTTTTCGCAAATATGTTGTTTGATGGAATGGATACTTTGGGCTTTTAAGAAAGAAAGGAAATTTAAAAAAATCATATATACTGTATACTTGTAACAGTGTTTATTCATGTGAATTGTTTGGTTATTTTCACGAGAATTACAGGGATAACCATAACCATGCAAATTGTTTTTGTTGCTGGCTGCATGATTGTGTGGGGTTAGGGCTGTTCCATTGTTTGGGTAATTTGGGTATTGTTGTAAAATGTAGAAAAATGCCAGAAAAAAACTGCTATGTCATCTTGGAGTGTTAAAAAGGCCTATATTAAAGGACAAGATAGGTGCACACAGCATACAAGAATAAATATCACGTGATTAACAGTATATATTCATGGCTGGAAAAAAATGCATCTACATGCTAAATAGTTGTAGTAAAAGGTATTTAAATGTTTGAAACTGATGACAACATTGCTTCAAGTGCCCTTTGTGGAGTGTAAATTCATACTCTGTTTGCTGTTCTGTTTCGTTCGTGAGTGTAATAAACATTTTTCTTCACTGCAGTTCTTCAGTGTCGTTAACGAAATATTTTTCAACAGATTCACTGGTTTTCGGAATACAGCATTCCACTATGAATACGACTCTGTTCTAGTCTAATCATCAGAACAAACAAAATCTTTGTATTTACGTTGCATTCTGTTTTTTAAGACTGGAAAGAAAAAATACATYATGAAAAGTGGAAAAGGTATTGGTTTGTCACAATTCAAAAGCAATGCACAAAAAAATACACAAGCCTTAGTAAATTGAGATCAAAAGCTAAATTTGTTATAAAATGACAAATCTAAGGATGTGATTTATTCTTAGGTGAATAATTCAGCGGCTAACAATAGAAAAATATTAATTTAAATAAGAAATAGTGGTTTCATTGCTACTTATTTAAAAAACTTCACAATGTCTCAATCTTTCCCAGTTCTGCTAGGACTATTAAAAATAGAAATGTGTCCAGATTTTGAAGCTTTTACTTTGAAGGGCAATCGGAAGTATTAACGACAGAACATCAGCGCTTTAGTTGTAGCATCGTAGTTTTAACCTTCTTACTATTTACGTCCTCCGAGTTTTTGTATCCTCTAAAGGTTTTTAAAATATTTAGTCTTGCTCACCATGTTTGTGAAAACTTTTTCTGCGCACTGACCTCCAAGAAGCTGCAAAGCCGGCGTTAGCTTAGCATGCTAGCTGGAAGCAGACAGGATGAAGCTGAGCAACAAGAGGCGGAGATGGATAACAGATTAGGTTTGTGACGATTTGAAGCTGAAAATGTCCAAAATTCAGGGGCTGATTGCCTCAAAGAAGTAGAGATTTAATGCTGCTAGATACAAAAAGCTTTCATCTCAAATTATTAATATTTTTCTTTTCGTTTTTAATGACATACATGTATAGTATGATGAAGTCCTAAATATACTAAATCTCAGTTGCATAATTATATCACTGGCAAGATTTTTTTCCCCGCTTATTAAGGTGTAGATGAATAAATACTTTTTTCTGTTTTCTGCAGAGGTCCAACAGCTGCTGGTCAAAGAGGAGTTTCCTCCGGACCAGAAGTCTGCACAGATTAAAGAGGAACAGGAGGAGGCTGACATCATCGAGTTAACATTCAGTCCAGCCCCTGTGAAGAGTGAAGACGATAAAGAAATTTCTCAGCCTTCAGAGCATCATCACAGCCAAACTGAGAAGACTAATGGCTCCGTAGAAGGAGCAGTTTCAGAACAATCACTAAATGAAAACAGTATTTCAGAGTCTACAYAGACAGATGTCAGTGAGGGAAACTGGGAGGAGAGCAGTGAACTTCTGTCAGATTTGGACTGCGGTGATGTAAAATYTGTTGCTAGTAAGACTTTGCACACTTGCAGTGATTGTGGTAAAACATTCAATCGCAGGGGATGCCTTTTAGGACACCAGAGGATTCACACCGGAGAAAAACCTTTCAGCTGCTCAGTGTGTAATACAGCCTTCACGTGGAAAAARGCTTGCCTGGAACACACGAGAATCCACACAGGAGAAAGACCTTTCAGCTGCTCTTTTTGTGACGCAGCTTTTAAAAGAAAATTCACCTTGGTGCAACACTTGAGAACCCATTCGGGGGAGAAACCTTTCGCCTGCTCCGTCTGCGGTCAGAGCTACAGACACAGTGTAGGTCTGAGTCGTCACATGAGGAGTCACACAGGAGAGAAGCCTTACTCCTGCTCTGTCTGCGAGGTGACTTTCAAATGGAAAAATGCCCTTGTAGAACACACGAGGATCCACACGGGGGAAAAACCTTTCCGCTGCTCCGTTTGTACGGCAGCCTTCAGAAGGAAACAGGATTTTGTGAACCACACACGGGTCCACAGTGGAGAAAAACCCTTCAGCTGCTCCYTTTGTGGTCAAGGCTTCAGCAAAACCATATATTTAACTTCTCACATGAAAAGTCATGAAGGACAGGAACCTTTCAGCTGAACAAGCTGAAGATTGTACTGAGTGACTTTTGTTTTTGTTTTATAACAGCACAAGGATGTACTTAAAGATGGAAATGAGGCTGTTAGATTTGTTATTATAACTTTAGTACGATGTTAAAAGGCAGCTTGATGTTGGTCTACATTGCTACATTATGCGTTTATACAAACTATATTATGTCATGATCATACCCACCTGCTTTATTTATTAAACTCTGCACCTGGTCATTTAGTTTCTGCTTCATTGATAAATAAAATAAACATGCTTTTGATACAAGACTACTTTTATAAATATTCGTGATGTAATCYCGTTTCTTACCAATGAAAGGCATGAAAATGTGTAGTTTCTTTGTCATAAAATAAACACGTTTTTGAAACCTTTCTCTAAACATGTTTGASTTCAGTGTCYGATGAATTATGTTCTCTGCTCCGTGGTTTAAATTTATGTCACACTTTCCACCTGCTTTACCAAATACCGTAATAGTTTAGGCATTGTTAAACATCCTAACACTTTAAACTACTGCTTATCAATACAAATACTCTAAGTGAAAATAGCTGATGACACAACAATTTTTAAAAAAAAATGAACATCAGATCCCAATAGTTATACAACATATAGAAAAATTCTCCAAGGCTTCAGGTCTAACCTTAAATCTGAATAAACGTGAACTTTTTGCTCTTCATGACACTCCTGTTAAAGTCCTTTACCAAGTTCCCATCAAGTCAGATATTAAGTATTTGGGTATCCACCTAACTAAAGAGCAAAAAAATAGTCAACTAATCAATGTTGAAGGCAAACTCACTGACTGCAAAACCAAACTGAATATGTGGCTCCAAAGAGACTTATCAATTTTAGTTAGAATATATTTAACAAAAATGGAAAGTTTATCACAATGTAAATACCCAATTTATTCAAATGCTGTTTCAAATAAATTAATTAAATCTTTCAACCAAATTAATTTAAATTTCATTTGGAGAAATAGGCCACATTATTAAAAAAAAGTAATATGGTAAAAGAAACATGTGAAGGTGGTCTTAAAGTTATAGATTTAGATTGTCTTAACGG